GGTTTCACCGTGTTGACCAGGATGGTCTCGATCTCTTGACCTCGTGATCCACCCGCCTCGGCCTCCCAAAGTGCTGGGATTACAGGCGTGAGCCACCGCGCCCGGCCTGAGATACTCTTTCATGGATAAAGCAATGGCCCGTGACAGGCTCGATCCTGTGGCCGCCCATCCAGCATGAGAGGGCCCTGGCCGACACCTTGAAGTGGAAATGAAATCGCCCTAACAGTGGGGATGTGGCTAGAATGGGACACGCCCCCAACAGAAGCCAAACTCTCTTCACCTGAAAGATCTAACCTTTACTTAGAGACCTGGTTGTATTAGGAAGACACTAACGCTATCCCAGAGATCTTCATCCGCTGTCACGTGCTTGGGTGGGATAGGAATAGTAAAGATGGAGCAAACGTCGAATTCCCACTTTCCTTCCAGGTAGTCTGCAAGTCAAACTGACATTCTTTTTATAACCTATATGGCCCAAATCATTAGTTGTCTCAGTTAAATGGGTGAGCGGCTGTCAAAAGGAGTCTATTGTATCCGGAGGTGTCATGATGATGAATGCGCTTCTAAGAATAGCAGCAGGTCTCTGCACACTCCGGTAACTTTTAAGCATTATCTATAGTTCCTGTAGCTCTGATCAATGCATGGAAACTAAGATAAATTCATCATTTGTTGCCAATTGGATCTACCTTTCTAGCCAACTTACTGTATTTGACCAGAGGAGATGAAGCTGTGGGCAGGAATTCTGAACAGCAATTTGTTACCAGTACTCAGGACGGGACCATCATTTCTCATGGGCCGTGGTAACAATACCAAGGGTCGACTCCCTCGTGCCCTAACAGTGACAAGTGCACTTCAGGAACCCTGATGGTGCGACCACAGTCTACTCACACTCCTACTTGAAATGGTACCAGGTCATCTGTGACAGGTGCTTGGTTAGAATGTGATCACACTCTTAGAAAACAAGGTTGACAGCAAGGCTAACTGCAAGGGTAGGAAAAGACATTCAAGAGCCAAATCCACACAAAATGTTTTGCCACACTTAATTTTCTGACATTTTTATAATATTTCTAGCCTGCATTTCACGATAGCATTGACACAGCTTGCAAAAACCCCAGCTGCTGAAATAATATTTAGTCTATTAGGACTAAAAAATAACTCCTTCAAAACCTTCTCCTGGGCATCCAGTGGTTCATAAAAGACCCATCCTTTACAGTATGAAAAAGGTGGCTGCATTTAGACGTTTGTTGAAATACGTGTTAAACAGTTAACTCTAAAACAAAACAACTAAATCCCAGCATTACCACCTCTTATCGATGCTCCTAATGTGACACAAACCAGATCCTTCTTCCACTTCCTAATCCAGCCCATGGCCAAGGACTGCATTTATTTGTCACATCTCTTTATTCTCTCAGCAGTTCCTCAGTCTTTCTTGTCCTCTGGGTCTCTGACATTCTCAAAGGGTACAGGTCAGTTATTTTGTTGAGCCTCCTCAACTTCGGTTTGAATGCTCAGCTCCATGAATAGATTCAGGTGAGGCATTTTTAGGAGAACGATCACAGAGATCATGCTGTGTTTTCTCAGTAAATGCGTTAAGAGCCACACAATGTCAGTCCAGTTACTGACGACGTTAACGCTGACTGCATGTATGTCACGTTTGTCAAAACTCCAGTTACTATTTCTTTCTTTGTAATAAACATAAATTTGGTGGGGACATACTTTTTGGGACTACAAATTATCTAGTTCTTCATAAAATTTTCACCTATTGGTTTTAGCACCCACTGGTGTTTCTTGCAGGAATAAATTGTTACTGTGGTGGCTGCCAAATGGTGATTTTCTAATTCTACGGTTCTTTCCTACACTAATTATGTGAGTTTAGTGTTGGAAGAACTCTCCCCTCTTTCCTAGATACTCGGTTACTGCACCATGGATGCGGGAGTTTCTGTTATTCAATGGATTATATTCATTACTAGCATTACTGATTCTGATGTTCCAGTGATCTCAGATGTGGCTTCTGACATGTCTCCATCATTCTCTGAGCACACAACACGATCTTCCAGCCTCATCTTGTATTTTCCAAAGAGGCCTGGTTCCTTTTAGTGGAGAACGGCAGCTAGAAACCAACACCTGGGAGCTACATGTGTTTCTCAGTTGGTGGCATGTCACTGCTCCCAGGCCCTCTCTGTGG